AAATAAAATAAAATAAAATAAAATAAAATAAAATAAAATAAAATAAAATGAAATAAAATAAAATAACTGCTTACCAGGGCCACAAATGACCCTTGAAATCCATCTACCCTCACCCTCCTTCAAACATCTGCAGCATCTCAGAATCTGTTAACTCTCTTGCTTCTTTTTTCTATAAAGTCCTCCCTCACCTATTATGCCATGGTATAGTATTCTTTTCATTTTCCTCCCACCTCTGTGATTATTTATAAAATACTCCTACCACTTGTACTTCCTCAAGGTTTTATCTCATCCTTCCTCTGCCTCTCTGCACTTTCCTTGGACAAGTAACACTGATGACTTTAAATATAACTTGTCCATGATCAACTTTCACATCCTTGCCTCATCACCAAACCCAAATTTCTAACAGTCTGCTCAATTTGGCCATCTAGATGTTACCTCAAACTCAACGTGCCTAAAATCAAACGTTTTCTCTCTACCTTCCCACTTACTGGCACATGTTCTCCTAGTTACCCAGGCTCAAAACCCTACATTTACCTTGTACTCCCTCAATTATTTTTTACATTTATTTATTTTTGATAGAGACAGAGCACAAGTGGGGGAAGGGAAGGAGAGAAGGAAGAGAGAGAAGGAGAGAGAAGGAGAGAAGGAGAATCTGAAGCAGGCTCCAGGCTCTGAGCTGTCAGCACAGAGCCCGACGCAGGACTCGAACTCACAAACTGCGAAATCATGACCTGAGCCGAAGTTGGACACCTAACTGACTGTGCCATCCAGGCACCCCTCCCTCAACTATTTTTTAAAAATTCAAACCTACAGAACAGTTGAGAAAAAAGTACAATGAACACCCACATATTCTACCTAAATTCACTGATTAACATTTTATTTTGCCACATTTGCTTTGTTTCTATATATTCTTCCTCTCCTTTTTTTTTTTGTTGAATCATTTCTGTTAGCTGAACACTTCATGATATTTTACCCCCAAACAGTTTTTTTTAAATGTTTATTTATTTTTTAAAGATACACAGAGTATGAGCAGGGGAGAAGCAGAGAGAGAGGGAAACACAGAATCTGAAGCAGGCTCCAGGCTCCAAGCTGTCAGCACAGACCCCAACACGGGACTCAAATGCATGAACTGCAAGATCATGACCTGAGCCAAAGTCGGATGCTTAACCAACTGAGCCAATCAGGTGCCCCACCCCCAAACACTTCAGGATATATCTCCCAAGGTCAAGGACACCCCCCCTATATAACCACAACAGCAGAATCACACTCCAGAAATTTAATATTATACCTGTATCTGATATATGGTCCATACTCAAATGGGATACAAATCATCCCATTTATGTTCTTTATAGCTGTTTTCTCTAATCTAGAATCCAATCAGAATTCAGATTTTGCATTTAGCGATCTTGCCTTAGAGTAACTTTTACTTTCCTACAACTTCTAGCAAATCTTACTGGTTCCACTTTTTTTTTTTTTTTTAATTTTTTTTTTTTTTTCAACGTTTATTTATTTTTGGGACAGAGACAGAGCATGAACGGGGGAGGGGCAGAGAGAGAGGGAGACACAGAATCGGAAACAGGCTCCAGGCTCTGAGCCATCAGCCCAGAGCCTGACGCGGGGCTCGAACCCACGGACCGTGAGATCGTGACCTGGTTGAAGTCGGACGCTTAACCGACTGCGCCACCCAGGCGCCCCCTGGTTCCACTTTTAAAATATCACCAAAATCTATTCCTTTTCACTATCTTGCCTTCAATCCCCCTCATTTGGATTACTTCAAAATATAGTTTCAACCTACAGACTGTTCTCAATTAATCTTAAGATTCAACTATATTTTCTAAGACTCAAATTTGCTCCTCTGCCCAAAAGCCTTTAGTAATGTTTTATTACTTACCAATAGATTCAGCTCCTCAGCACTCAATCTGGCATTCAAAATCCTCTACAATTTAACTGCACAATACGTTTCCAGTTTATTGTTCTATTCATCCCTCTATGTCCCTGTACCTTACTGTCCTCTACCTGGAATTCCCTTCCTCATACAATTTCTACTTCTTCAAATAGTAACCATTCTATAAGGAAATGTCCCCTCTCCTGAGCTCTTTTCTTATCACACACTGTCTCCTGCTGCCACCATGTGCTCTCTTCCTCTCTTCCTTCTCTAAACCCTCTATATTTTATATCTTTCTAAAAGAACATATCTTATAACGACTTGTGTATTTTAATTACTCAGATATGTATCTTTTCCTAATACTAGACTACAAACTCTTTAAAAGCAGGGATGATCAAGGGGCACCTGGGTGGCTCAGCTGGTTAAGTGTCTGACTTGGGCTCAGGTCATGATCTCATGGCTCGTGAGTTCAAGCCCCGTGTCAGGCTCTGTGCTGACAGCTCGGAGCCTGGAGCCTGCTTCAGATTCTGTGTCTCCCTCTCTCTCTGCCCCTCCCCAGCTCATGCTCTGTCTCTGTCTCTCTCAAAATATAAATAAACATTTAAAAAAATAAAAAAATAAAATAAAAAAAGCAGGGATGATAAAAACGATGAATCACTAAATTCTACTCCTGAAACAAATATTACACTGTATGTTAATTAACTAGAATTTAAATAAGAACCTGAAACTTAACAAAAAAAAAAAAAAAAAAAAAAAAAAAAAAAAAAAAAAGGATGATCACTATGTACTCTAAAGTACCAATACAGAATCCTGTACATTGGACACTCAATAAATGTTGATATGCTGTATCAAGAGGTAGGACATTTAAAAAAATTAAAATATATTAACAATGATTTCCAGGCTTCCTGCCACTCTTATTCAACTACAATCCCTGACCTCTCCAACTTACTATGTGTGGCCCTTTTGTAGTTCATGTCCTAGTATTAGCTTAAATCATCACTTCCTATCTTATACAGTATATTGCTTTTTGTCTCAAGGGTATAGTACTAAACTTGGGATATGAAGGAATTCTATTTGACATAATTACTTTTTATTTTCTATGGTGCCACCAAATGCTTAATTCGATTTTCTACTCATTTTTTCATTACTTTTGCAACAGAAATCATTAGCAAATATGCTTAACTGACTGAGCCACCCAGGTGCCCCAAAAATTTTTTTTTTAATGTTTATTTTTTGAGAGAGAGCGAGAGAGAGAGAGAATGTGAATGGGGGAGGGACAGAGAGCGAGAGAAGCAAATATGTAGGAAAATGTGTAGTTCTCATTAAAATGACAAACTATAAATACATAAAGAAACAATTTCCCAAATCCACTATCTACACTTACCTGTCCCCAGGCATACATATTATTATGAGTCTGGGAAGGGTTGACTTTTGAAAGCAGGAAACGGGCCTTAAAAGCAAAGAAGAAATAACATCCATCAAAAATAGATTTAGTTAATATGAGCCAAACAAATACATTATGTGATCTAAAATTTAATTAAAAGGCAACTTTTTAAAAATGAACTAATTTTGGAAATATGTAGGCCACTACATGTTACAAATAAATATACCCTCTTCTCTCTAAATCATACATTCATAACAACAAATAATAAATTAGTCAAAAATTCAGTATATAAAAATTATGTGTGCAACAAGTAGGACAAGATTAGTGTGAATTTTACTAAACACTTGGTCTAAAACATCATCAGAGGTTTGAAGTTCCAAAAAGTGACCTACACATTCTTTAAACAATGACTCTCAAACTTTTTTAAACTGCAGGCTATTCCATAAGACAAGTTACCTAACATTTTAACCATCTATCCATTAAGTCATATCATTGTAAAAATAATAACCAAAATAAAAGCAGAAAATAGCACTATACATGGTAAGATGGTAAGACATTGATGAGAGAACCAGGCATGAATATAATTTCATATTGGAAGAACACAAGCAGTCCTATCTTTTGAAATTTAGTACCACACAAAATCATTTTCTACTCTATGAGTAAGCAGCTTAACACAAGAAAATTGGCTCTAGAGTCAGAACACCTAGATTCAAATCCCAGTTTCTCCATTTACTGTGTTTCCTTGGCGACAAGTAACCTAAGTCTTGGTTTTATTATCTGTAAAATGGAGGTAACAACAGAATTGTTAGGAGGGTCCAATGGGATAAGGTGTGTAAAGTACTATCAGCTTTGCAAATTCTCAATACGTGGTAGCTCCTATTATAAATATAATAAAATCCTAAAAATAACTGCTATCATTTCTGAATAATAGTTACTGATATTTACCACCTACTTTATAATACTGCACTAGGCACTACGGATACAACAATAAATGAAGCAAGATCCCTGCCTTTAAGGAGAAGAGAAACAAACTTATAATAATTTATAATTACTTTATTATAATTCTAATAAAATTACAAGGGAGAAGTAAAAAGTGTTTTCAGAGTGTACAGAGGCACCTGAGGCACCTGGGTGACATAGTCGGTTAAGTGTCCAACTCTTGATTTCTACTCAGGTCGTGATCTCATGGCTTATGAGACTGAGCCCCACATCGGACTCTATGCTGACAGCACAGAGCCTGCTTGGGATTCTGTTTTTCTCTCTCTCTGTCCCTCCCCTGCTTGCTCTCTCTCTCAAAATAAATAAAAACAAAGTTAAAAAACAAGTGTATGGGGGTGTCTGGGTGGCTCAGTAGGTTGAGCATCCAACTCTTGATTTTGGCTCAGGTCATGATCCTAGGCTCATGGGATTGAGCTCCACATCAGGCTCCATGCTGAGCATGAAGTCTGCTTGAGATTGTCTTTCCCTCTGCCCCTTTCCCCCACTTACTCTCAACCTCAAATTAAATTTAAAAAGGCGGAGGGGAGGAGGCTCTTGAGTGGCTCAGTTGGGTGTCCAGCTTTGGCTCATGTCATGATCTCACAGTTTATGAGTTTGAGCCCCACGTTGGGCTCTGTGCTGACAGTTCAGAGCCTGTTGCATGCTTTCGATTCTGTATCTTCCTCTCTCTGTCCCTTCCCTGCTTGCACTTTCTCTCTCTCAGAAATAAACATTTAAAAAAAAAAAAAAGAGTGTATGTTAAGGGGTCTTCAACTTAGCCTTCTGAAAGGCTATATGCACACATATATGTACATGTGTATATGTACATGTATCTAATTTAATCCTAATAATTCTAAAAACCAAAAAGCCTTTTGTAATATCATAATGTTTTCCTATTACATGACATTTTCTAAAAAACTGAAATGACAGAATGAAGAAAACAAAAAATTGTTACCATAAACTTCATATTCATAGACTTTTTCATTAAATACACAGATTAAAGAAAATTACACTGAAAAAGGTACACTAAATTATTTTCCAACTTGCTTTTCTTGCTCAGCTAAAGCAGACAAACCACCATAACACCATCCTGGCTCTGTTATTAAATCTGGGCTGGTAGCAGAAGATGGGAGAAACTGCTAGCTTTAGGTAACGAGTCAATAACCACTGCTTTGCACTCAAAGCTAAGGCAAAAAGCAAGCATATTTTCCCTTGTAAACCTCCTCCTATCCATCTCCTCCCTCTTTTACTTGCTTTGGGAAGCAGTCTATTCAAATTAAAGTCAGAAGGCAAATAGCAACAACTCATTACAAAACTAGCAACAAGCAAATTAACTGTACTTACCTGGCTACCTCCGTGTTCAGTATCAATGTATCTTGGCATTGGAAATCTGGAGTGAAGAATCTCCTGGGCATCATCCACTGGGGCTTGTAGAAGATGGCGGAAATTTTCATATTCTGGCATGTCTTGGTATCCTGACTTGCGCCACTGTGCAATGGTCTAATTTTAAAACAATTAAAGGAATTATTACTTTTAATTTCTTACCTATTCAAAATCTTTAAGAGATTTTTACAAAGGAATTAATCTTCAGAAAATAAGAAAACTATAGATCATTATTTCATTTATCTCAGGTTTTAAATTAATACTACGTATTTTTGAGTAAATACATGAAAAATGAGGTTACTTCTCCTTTAAAAGTAAAAAGAAGTAATAAACCAGAAAATTTGCCTACAGAAGACTTCCCAGATACTTCAAAATTAATCACTGACTATTATAAAACCTTTATCAATGGAGTTACATTCTAGCAAGACATGAAAACATAAAAACTTTAATAATAATAGCAATAACACTATAAATATGCCTGGAAAGAGCATCTGAGTCAATTCTTTTATTAAGGTAATGGCTCCAAAAAGCATGGGATTAAATCAACCAAAAATTTAAATTTGGTTTGGTTTCTAACTTAACTGCATCAGTCAATACATACTCTGCATCACTTTATATCTTTGTAGTTAACAGAGGAACAGTCATGTGCATTTCAGACTTCTCCTTTAATTACATTAACAAGCTACTTAAAATTACACACACACACACACACAAAAGCAAAATATTTCACTCTGTCATGTAATAGGCATTATTCTTAAAAATTAAAGGACATTAGTACTGATATCAATTAAAAACAATAATCAGTAAATCTTTTAAAAGGTCTAGATAATATTACTCAAAAGGATATTTTGAGTAACACCTCTACTCTTACAGTGCAAATCTAAAATCACAACTAAAACAATTGGAAAAGTAAATCTGCACAAGTTACTATAATTCTAGACTAGAAGTTTGAGTGTGGGTCTATGAAAAACGAATCTCTATCTTTCAAGGCATCCAGAAAACAGTACTTTCTTATACAGAGAAAGCATTTAATTATTGCTGAGTGAGTAAGTGCAGGAATGAACAGACCTCTGCTAAAGAACTGAATTAAAGTTTACTGACTACTCAAATATTCTTCTCTTTTCAATAATTTACCATTCCAATTAAGAGAAGGTATAAATTTTAATTCACTTATGCTTTAAATGAGTTTTTAGATCATGTGGAATATTTTTAAGAATAAAGTGCTTTATACACATCATACAGAATACTTTTTAAATGATTACGTGAAATAATGAAAGGGAAAGCCTGCCTACTGACAAAGGCAGACTTTTCTCCTGTTGAGGTCTTCAGGTAAAATCAAAAGTATTATACTCCTATGTTTACATCAATGTCCTTACTTTCACAATACTATGCTTTGTGTAAAATCCACTTGTTGAATCATATGTAGACAAATGGACAAAATAACCACAGGTGGGTAAACTGCAAATGAAGTCTAAAAACCTGTAGTAGGAAAAATCATATTTAAACCTATTTTATAAAAATGGAAATAAAAGTTTATCATAGAGGAAACAGTAGCCATTTAGTGAAGAGGGGAAAGTTTCCATAAATAAAAAGACTTTATTGCACATACATGCATAGCTTTAAATGCTATGGAATCTTACCTCACCATGGTAAATCAAAATCTGGAAGAACGTGTCCATGAGAAGAATGCGATCTGCAAGAATACTGCTGCTATCAAGAAGAACCGGCTAATGGAAGAAAACAATGAGAGAAGAGGAAGATGGAAAAATAAATTATTTAAAGATACAAAATAGATCTTTCCAAGATATTTTTAAAACTTTAAATTTCTACCTTACAACTTAAGACATCTTGCTTTCATGAATTCTTACAGTATATTTTAATTTTCTGAGAAATCACAACAACTAAGGTAACAATAGAAAACCAGAGTAAAGCCAAGAGAAAATCAGGGATAACTCCTAAGTCTGGTGATGACCCCACTGAGTGACAGACAAAAAGCTTGGGAAAGGGGAAATTTGGAGACAGAAAAATAGTTCTAAATAGAAAATGAAAGGGAGTGGCCAGAATTAATGACATAAATTTGGGTATCACATGCATAAAGATGGTAATTAAAGCTATGTGATTATACTGTATCACTCAGAGAAAGGAAGACAGAGAAGAATCCAGAGATAGAGCCCTAGAGCATGCCAACGCTTAAGAGATCTGAAAGGAAGAAGTCAGCAAAAGGAGACGGAGAAGGAACAGGCAGTGATTAGGAGGAAAACTAGTAGGTACTGCAGGTGTCAGAGAAGCCTAGGACAACAGGTTTCTAAGGACAATCCTCATTAGGTAAATGCTGTTGAGAGTTCTGGCAAGATGTGGGACATTGGTAGCTGCTTGGTAAGAGTTGTTTCAGTGTAATGTTAGGGACAAGAATCTGAATAATCTAGGTTGAGAAGAGAATGTGAGGTGAGATCATACAGTTACTCAGGTAACTTACTGAGTTTAGCTGCAACTGAGACCAAAGAAATGAGGTGGCAATTAGAAAAAATGTGAAGCCAAAGGTGGTTCTGTTTGTTGGTTTTTAACGTGGGTGCTATTTAGGGTTCTATGTTAATGAGAATGATCCAGAGGAACAGCAGGTGATGATGCAGGAAGGAGGAAAACTCCAAAAGCAAAGCCCTAAGTAAATGAAGCTACTGGCGTTCATGGATTAAATGGCAAGGTTAGAATTTAACAGCAGCAGGTAATAGGGATGGTGGGATTCCAAATTTCTTCTAAACAGTAATCTACATTTTACAGGTATCTAAATTTACATATATTACTCTGAAATTAGAAACAAAATCTCTAAAACTTTCTTTCCTGATTCAAAGAACTACAAGACCAAATAAATAACTAGACCATCACATTAACACCTTGTATTTTCTAGAAAAGTAGAAACTATGACAAACTACTAAAAAAAAATTATAGTAACAAAATAGAATGTTTTATAAACTATTTTTTACAAAACAGTATATAAAGGCATCACGAGAGATCATGAATCAAGAGATATTATAAATACCCTCTTTATACGGACCATTCTTCAATATTATTTTCACATATAGTCATTATATACTTTTAAGTGGTAAAACAGACAACATTAGCTACAAAATAGAAAAAACTGTTTATTTGATAATAGGTTAAAATAAGTGGGACAGTTTGCTAGGAATGGCATAGCTTTATCACGGATAACTTTATCATCACCTAAGCATACATCTTTATAATCAACTGTATCTCATGTTCAAGAGAGGCTACAAGAAAATGACATTTTAAGCAAGAAGCTTTGTTCAGACAGAATGTCCTGTCAGACACTAAACCCTGGAATAAGCTACAGGTTCTAGAATCATTACCTCTGGGCACTGTTAAAGATATGAGAACAATCATAAACCCTACAGAATTTGATCAACCAAATAACTGCATAAATTGATCTTAAAAGTTTCTTCCACCTCAATTTTTCTATTTTTTTAAATGATTTCCTAGTGCAATCTAGCATATAATAAGCACTCATAAATATCTGCAAATATATGAATAATGTAACATAACTTCTTAAACTAAATTCTTATATGTAGTAACTATATTCCAAGAAAAACTTAATTGTTTTCACTTTTTGATGACACATCACAGCAACAACCAATTTTTGTTTTCTGTTTCTCTTACCTCTGGTGGTCCACTAAAAGAATATGCATACAGAATAGGCTGAATCATGATTAGAGACTGAGTCAAATCTTGACGCATAAAATGATGACGATAATATGAACTCTCATCAGGACTATTGTTAAAAACTTGCAAGAAAGGAGATCTTCTTAAATGAAACATAAACTACAAGAAAAAAACATGTGAGATAGGTTTTACTGATTTCATTGCAACAGTTTACTATTACAAAAGCATCTGATTATAACTATTAACGCAATAAAACAAGTTATAATAAGAACATTCTAAACTGTACTCCTCAGAATCTTACTATGATCTTTATCAGTTATTTAAAAATACAATTCAACAACAAGACACTCGGTTGAGTGTCCAACTTTTTTTATTTTTTTTTTACATTTTATTTTTGATATATATATAGAGAGAGAGAGAGAAACAGAGCACAAGCAGGGGAGGGGCAGAGAGAGAGGGAGACACAGAATCCGAAACAGGCTCCAGGCTCTGAGCTGTCAGCACAGAGCCCGACGCGGGGCTCGAACTGACGAACCTAGAGATCATGACCTGAGCAGAAGTAAGACACTTAACCGACTGAGCCACCCAGGCGCCCCATTGAGTGTCCAGCTCTTGATTTTGGCTCAGGTCATACTTTCAGGGTCACGGTGTCCTACACACAGCATGGAGCCTGCTTGGGATTCTCTCTTTCTCTCCCTCTGCCCCTCTCCCCAGCTCACATGTGCACTCTCTCCCTCTCAAAAAATAAGTTAATTAAAAATATGTGTGTAGGTGTGTGTGTGTATGTATATACAAAACAATAAAAAAATTAAAGTAAAAGAGGTGACTCAAAAGGAAAACAAAAATAGGAACAAAAAACTCCTTGCTCTGGTCTAAGTTATACTACATGGTGCATTATCAGCATCCTTTGTTTTTATTCCTCATGTCTTTGGCCACAACTCTGAACTTTTTTATTACTGTTCCTTACCACCATCAAAAGACTCCAAGAGTAAAAGTAGATTAACAGATTTTCTACTTTTTGTAGGGCTCCCAAAAGTTGTACTGGGAAGGGTCAGCGATGACAAAAAAAAAGAAAGAAAGAAAAGGACTTACATATATTCACATTTTTAAGTTCTTCCTCATCCCTAAGAAACATTCTCTAGACTTTTTTTCATTACTTCTTTCTCCTTTCACTTTCCTTCTACCCACTCCTGATATTAAAGAGCTCAAAAGAGGGAGAGTTAGGCCTGAAATAGAGTCTCAGATACAATCAACAGAATCAGCTCTCCAAAGAACTCTTATTTGTCTTGGAGTTTCCTCCCAACTTCCTTCAGCCCTCAGGGCCCAAGTGCTTGTGTGTTGCTCCTGCCTGGGACTCAGTCCACGCTTCTCTCCCAGCAAAGGCAGCTCAGTGACATTCTCATTCCTTTTCTGTTTTCAGTGATCAGAACTCACTGAGAGGCTCTCTCATCCCTCACCACTTTAGCCATTCCTTACTAACAGAAATGTGTAATTGGTAAATTTGGGGGTAAATATTTTAGAAATAAAGACCTTCTTTAAATGTAAGCTATGCCACCTTTTGGAAGACCATCAGGCTTTGAAACCCCCCCAAAAAAATTATTTCTGGGCCCTCTGCTATTTCCAATAGAGGGGAAAAGATGGGATGTCCAGATCTCTTGGGAGATCTATCAACTATCAAAAGCCTAAAGAGAAGGTTTGGAGTTAGGAGAGAAGAAAAAGGAAAGTGTATGGCTTTCAGTCAAATACTTATTAGGCTAATGCCTTCATTCTCTTTCCTATTAGTTTCTGCTACTAATAGGCCTAAGGATTCCCAAATCAGAAATGTTCTGTCTGCTTTAAAACAAATAGACTCTGCCTTTTGCTAGTTCTCCAAACCTGCAACCAGAGGTTTAGGGAAGTCTCCCTGCATAAACAACAAGTTTCTACACCAGAGATCAATAAAAAATGTTCAAAAAAAATATTAATAAGAGTAGTTCAGAAAAGAAAGCTGAAGGTTTAAGCAAAGTTTTCATGGGCAAAATTTAAATTTCCACATCTCAATGTAATCATTATTCCAGACTGAGCTAAAATGCTCCTTCTTCTATAAAGGTGTATCACAACATTCACTTGGAAGGATTCCTCTAAATTTCCTTTAAGTTTTGCATATCTCTCATAGCATTTCTCTCTTTCTGTTCTGCATTAGGTATATTTCAAATGACACCCTTCAAACTGAAAGATCCTTGAAAGGAGGATCCATGTCAGCCATCTTTATTCTCCTAAAGTTCCCTTCACACAGAACTCAGGTGAATAAATGTTATCTATGCTATTCATCATATAAATAAGCAATCTAGACTTTTTTAAATATCGATCAAAATAAGACAGGTAGATTCAACTACCCAAGTGGAAAAACTTCACTAAGATACATAAAATCAGCTCTTTCTAGGGGCGCCTGGGTGGCGCAGTCGGTTAAGCGTCCGACTTCAGCCAGGTCACGATCTCGCGGTCCGGGAGTTCGAGCCCCGCGTCAGGCTCTGGGCTGATGGCTCAGAGCCTGGAGCCTGTTTCCGATTCTGTGTCTCCCTCTCTCTCTGCCCCTCCCCCGTTCATGCTCTGTCTCTCTGTCCCAAAAATAAATAAACGTTGAAAAAAAAAATTTTTTTTTTTAAATAAATAAATAAAAAATAAAATAAAATCAGCTCTTTCTATTTACCTGGTATATCAGATTGTTCTGTAAGACCAGCTGACCAGTAAAGTTACTTCCTTTTGGTACTACTGTAATTAGATCCTTTATATTAGATGGAAAGTTGAAAGTTAATCTGCCTGACATCTGATTCTACTCCACACTAGGACTCCAGTGTAAATTTCTACTCACCACAAACAGATGAATATTTTCAAGGCCATCATAAAAATACTATACATTTAGGGGTGGGTGTAAAAAAAAAAAATACTATATACTTTTCACTGACTACTCAAGCACAATAGTGATTTCTTAGCTATCCCAAACTTACAACATTACCAAAAGAATAACCCAATACAACAGGTCCTATAAGATGAGTAATAAAATACAACAGGAAAAATGAGACCCAATGCTACTGTCAACACTAAGAAAAGAACATGGACCTTTTATCTACTCACCTGAGGGTAAAGGGAGAAAGTTTCTGAAAATCTGAAGGAGCTTGGATCATCTTTGTGATATTCTCCAAATTTCTGACACTAAATAAAATAAAATGTGTTAGCAATATTTTCCCTGGCACACAGCTAAACAACCCTCTTGCCTATATGTTTTCTATTTTTAAAAAGCTATTACTCTTTAGAAGGCAGATAATTGATATAGGATAAAATCTGAATATTACTTATAGACTTACCAAGAGAATAATTACAACTAAAGAAATACATTTGAATTTGAGAAGCAAACAACATATTGCTCCAATGAAGTAACCAGTCTTCTTCAAATGTTTGGATTTTTTTTTTTTTTTTTTTTTTTTTTTTTGAGAGAGAGAGAGGGCACAAGTGAGAGAGAGTGGGAGAGGGAGAGACAGATAAGTGGGGCTCACCAAAAGCAGGGCTCGAGCTCACCTGATGTGGGACTTGAACTCACAAACCATGAAATTATGATCTGAGCCAAAGTCAGATTGCTTACTGACTGAGCTACCCCAGCTGCCCTAAGAAATCTTTTTTTTTCTTTTAAGTAAGCTCTATGCCCAACATGGAGCTCGAACTCATAACCCGAGATCAAGAGTCACATGTTCTACCAAATGAGCCAGGCAGGAGCCCATTGTTGTTATACCTGGGTAACCAGTGATATCCACAAGGCTAATTTTCAGAGTAGGGCATGTTTGAGACTTATGTCCAAAATTTTCCTTGCATTATTAACATTTTGTATATCACTAAATATAATCTATTATTCCATTGAACATTTTTCATATCACTAAATATAATCTATTATTTCATTTTTAAAAGCTGACTAGCATTCCACTACATTAAAATATACACCATAACAATCTTATCTAATCCCTCACTATTAGCATATATATTTATCCTGTTATATATTTAGGATAAATTCTTAGTGGTAGAATTTCTAGGTAAAAAGAAGTTTTTAAGTTTTTGACATATGTCACCAGCTACCTTCTACATATAAGGTTATACAAATGTTTATAAAAGTTGTGCAATTCAAACCAACAAGCTATGATGCTGTTTCCCTGAATACTAACCAATTCTTAAGCGTTACTGTGTTTTTCTAATTCTTACCGGTTTGACAAATATTGTTGTCTTTTTCTATTTTCTAACTTTGATTATAAATAAGATTGATAATTTTTTCATATGTTTACTGGTCACTTGCATTCCCTCTTTTGCTAATTCCTTGCTCATGACCTTTGCTCTTTTTGCCCAAATCTTATTGATTTATAAGAGCACATATACATGAATATTTCCATATTCTGCCAAATGTAAAGAATATGTCCTACATACAAATCATACATAAAAGATGGCATTAAATTCTGCTAATGGTATTTTTACCACAGATTTTGTTTCATTTTAATACATCTATTAATATTCTTATTTAATGCTCCTGCTTTTCATTTCATGTTAAAAGTCCTTCTGCCTCCAGGTTAAATGCATATTAACCTATTTCCTGATAAATATAGCCTAAAGTATAAACTATATATACAACCTAAATAAAGTATGTATCGGGTATAAGTATATATGTATAGGTTAAAGTTGTATAGGTTATACTATAAATAACAATATAAAACTTGCATAATATATATATATATATATATATATATATATA